AGATTTATCATAATATTATTACACTTGTGTACACATAATACATGAGGCATGAGAAAATTGGGGGTCAACGACTTGCGGAATAGCGTCGATGATGAAGAGCGGTGTTGGAATGGGGCTTTTCATCATTATCATCATCATCATCGCCGTCGTTATAATATTATGTACAACGGTGGATTTTAAGTATTTCCTACCATTATAATTCATAGTCTTATTGTCTTATTAGTTAGTATACGTAATGGCCGATGGACGGTGGTACAGTACTACAATGTATAACTGTATAAGCGTAAAGATGATCGCTAATTTTGTATTTTTGTTTATTTTTATTCAAAATTTGAAATATACCTCTCTTAGACATATTATTGTAGTACTCCTCCATATTTATGCAAACCAATGAAATGTTAACTATTTCAATCGTATATCGAAAAATTGCATGAAAATGTTTGCTGAGAAAATTAACGCCTGAAGTTAGGACGTAACCTTTTGTATAAAATATTCAAATGTAAAACTGCTGTCGACTCTCGATAATTCGAAATTGGTGAGACTTATGAACAATTTCGAATTACCGAGTTATTCGACTGCATATAATTACATTTACATATACACACAACCGGTAACTAGAAAGTCGTAAGAATGGAGAATGGCATTAAAATTATGTACAATATTACAATCCTCATAAATTTTCAATTAGTATCGAAAAATTGTGTTTAACCTGTAATCTGTATACAATTACAATAATATATAGTACGGTACGGTTATACATAGCTAGTCTGCTCGCACTCATAGATATAGTCTTACTATGTATGATATACGATGGTGGTATAGTAGATACATATAATACATTAATTATTGTATATTCAAACTTAAAATACATTATCGTGATTATTCGAACTTCTGATATTGACTGCAAACTGTTTGTGTTAGGTCATGTACGTTTAATTAATCAGTAGAAAAACACGTTTATTAAAAAAATTGAAATAGTTATTAGGTACATAATATAATATGTATACTATACAGGTATGTAAATACACTTGGGATTTGGGTACTCGTTATTTTACTCGATGCAACGTTATTCTAGCGCAATAAGTACCTAATTACAGTAATTTATGGAATAACTTAAATTTTAGAAGGCGTTGTGAATTTGCGTGTTCAATTTAATTCGAATAAACAGTGAAGAAAAAAAATGGTCTGAATTGAGTTACCTACCAATACAATTTGCATGTTTACTGAAATTAATTAAATTGTGAAAATATTTTACAATGTTTTTATTTAATGAGTAGTACCTTTAGTTCGAACAATAATTGATAAAATATAATAAGTTACAGAATAAATATACCTACCTCCCAGGTACTATCTAAGTCATTTTATATTTCTGTAATAACACATTTCTAAATACCTACCTAATATTTATCATACGGTACATACTTATAACAAAAACAAAAATAATACATGAATATATGTTAAATTAAATTTTTTTTTTATTTAAGCTTCAGCAACTGAGGCCATTAGCTGTAGGGTTTTTGGAACTGTAGGGTTTGGGACACGTGTGTGTTTTAATATTTTATAAACCAATTAATATATATACCTACTCACTACTGTATTAGATATAATAGAAAAAATTAAATAATTCATAATGTCCAGATAAATGCCAAGGAAAATTTGTTATTATATTTATATCATTACCTTTTTTAATTTTAAGTGTTTATATAACATTGGTATATAATTATTTTAATTTATTTTGGTTTCAGAAATTAATCAGTGGACGAACACAACTATGAGTGATGAGGGAAGAAGATTTAGAAATTGCATTAAAGGTAGGTATTAACTATTAGGTATATAATTGTATAGGTACCCTGAAAGTTATAAATTATATTTTTATGTTTAAGGTGGTGATCGTGGGAAATGGCGCAGTCGGAAAATCGAGTATGATTCAGCGTTACTGCAGAGGGACATTTACCCGGGACTATAAAAAGACAATTGGAGTAGACTTTTTGGAGAGGCAAATAGAGTATGCTACTTAAATAATTACTTCATTATGCTACAGAATTTGCCTAACCTAACAAAAATAATTAGATAATTACTCCGTCAATATGATAGTGTGTCTGAAATTCAACAAAACAAACATTTACAAATACCAAATGGATTATAATATTTTCCATTTATCTAACTCCTAACAAATGAGTTAATAAGTGAAATTTTGAATTTGTCAATAATTTGTAATTGTTATATTCATTATTTGCACAACATTGTCTTTTAAGTCGTAAGTCTGTCAGATTGTAGTAAACAAGTAAAAATTATATAAATTTCAATTTGAACTTTATCCGACTGCAATAGGGGATCTGCGTGAACAAACATAGTCCTTAGATTTATAACATAACTCAAATTAATGTGGCTTATAACCATACCACCTATAAGCTAATACCAATTTTTCTACATTTATGTGAACTTTTCTGACTTAGTAATCCGACACTTTTTCTTGTGCCAACTGAAGTCTGCCGCTATATTAGTCCAATTTGTTTTGGACAGACCAAAAACCGCTGCCATGTTTTAACATTAACGCATGCAACTGTTGTAATTGTATTGGTAGTAGTTATAGTAGATATTTATTAATGAGTAATTATGTGCTAAATGTTTTGATATCTCTTTGAATTTGTATTGAATGGATCGTAGAACATATATTAATTCTAGATTCTTAAAAAGAAATCATTTAACAAGGTTTTACTTCATAAATAATTTAATATTTTTATTTTCTTAAGTTATGACTATTTATATTTTATTTTAGATGCAATGGGGAAGACGTGAGATTAATGTTGTGGGACACAGCAGGCCAAGAAGAATTTGATGCCATTACCAAAGCATATTACAGAGGAGCCCAAGCATGTGTGCTAGCATTTTCCACGACAGACAGAGATTCGTTTGAAGCAATTCACTCGTGGAAAATCAAGGTTTCATTATACTTAAATAATATTTTATCGGTGGTTAGATAAGTATTTATAATAGCTATTAATTATTGACCTTAAACGTAAATTGGATTAGGTCAGCTGACCTCTAAATCAAAATCAATATATCTAAAGTTTTGTATAGGTACTATTTTATTAAATCACTATCTCTGTTTTGTTATGAAAACAACCCTGCTCCTTCAGTTATGTCTATACATTATGGAATGAGTGTTATGGCTCATGATATTATTTTTTTCTTAAGACATAATTGTTAAGTATTTGATTATAAATGTTCAAGAAAAGTATTATTGCTTTGATAAAATTCTTTTATTTTAAACATAATTTTACTAGATTAATCATAAGATTAACCTACCTATATTATTATGGTCCTCTAGTTATGCTTATGACTTATAAAATAAAATATTTTCATCATATTTACTAGTTCAATATTCAAATGTCTTTAATGTTAGTCAATTACTGTGATAATTTGACTATGTATTTTTTATAATATAAATTAATATGTTATTTTAATCAATTGTAAAAATGCAATGAGTAATAATCATAAAATAAAAATAAATAACTGATATAATTATAATACTGTAGGTAGTGTAGAATATGCATGTTTTTAATTCATAATTTACTAATTTTTTATAATTTTTAAAGGGTGTTGGTCTTGGTAGTAATTATTTATCTTGATTCTTCTCTTCGATAAACTCAATTACGAGTACTACAACAATTACGTAAGTTATATAGCTTCAACATATTGCAAATATTTCTATTAATTAATTTAAGATTATAACTTTGTCTATAAAAAAGAGCATAGCTATAAATTCACTAGATATTCTTAGTAAAATGTGTCAATTAAATTTACTATAGGTGGAAGATGAATGTGGAAAGATACCAACAGTGATTGTCCAAAATAAAGTTGATCTTATAGAACGAAGCCAAGTTGATCCGTAAATATTACTATTTATTTATATTTTATTTGGTTGCAAAATTTAAGCAGTGCTCATCAGTAACCGATAAGAATGTACAATGTTCAACCTTACCATGTAAAATGGTTTTTTAATGTTTAAATCTTGCATAGTATTTAATTGATCCTATTCATTATTCTATAGATAGTAATCACTAATCATAGTTAATGCATGTGTACTTGAAACATGTTATATTAATTAATCATATGGGAAGTAAATAAAAACATGTGCATCTTGTCATTATAATTAATACAATTAGTGTATCAGATTTTTAATAATTTATTGGGTTTATTCGAAACAAGAAACTAATTGAAAACTGCATCATGTTGCTTATAACAATAAATTAGAATCTCAATTTAAATATTTTACAGACAAGAAGTTGACATTCTATCTCGGTCGCTGGGCTGTAAGCTAATATGTACATCAGTAAAAGACGACGTCAATGTCAACAATGTATTTAGGTATTTGGCCACACGGTGTTTGATGGAAATACAGAAAGAAGAACAGGAATATATGTCAGGGAATGGAATACACCAAACATATACAATAGGTAAATTATTTATTTTTACCTTTTCAAACAGCAATTAACTTAAAATAGTACTGTTATTGATATTAATAATCAATGTCTTACCCCTCAAGTTTTGTTTATTACTTAAATAACAATAACACTGTTAAAATTAAACAACAATATTGATTTATATTAAATAATAAGAATACATTTATTAATATTTTAATATTTACTTGGATGATAAACGTATGTTATAAACTATAAAGACAAAATATGTCACTTTAAATAATAATTAGTAGTGATGACGTATCTAAAATATTAAAATATTATCTGAAAAATTCAAGTGACTAAAATCTAGTTTTAATTTTTAAACATGAAAACTATTCCCTAATATTGCAGTATGATTAAAAATTAACTATTTTGAATTGATGATTTGTTTTTAATTTTTTTTATATATTTCAAGGTTCATTTGGTGCAGTTCCATATCACAACAGAAATTCTTCAACTACAATAAAATTGAGATCTGGAAAAATAAGACAAAAGAAAAAAAATATCTTTAAGAACTCTTGTGTCATACCGTAATAGTTTTAACAATAACATTTCCAATATATTATGTTTGATGTGTAATAAATAAAATATAAAACAAAATAACAATATTGAAAAACAATTAATATCACTATATGTTTGACAGGAAAATCAGTAGTTAACATTAAGATTACGTTAGTGATGCAAAATTAATTATAGTTAAACAAATGGAATTATTGTAGACGACAGACAAGCTTGTCAAGCTACTGGTCTTTTGATTCCATAATGTAATCCAACAGCCCTTGTAGTCTTTTAATAATACGTTTCTGATCGTCGAGGGTACACCCCAAAACGGCCGTCTCGAACACCTTGCAGCCAAGTTCATTTTCCAATGGACTACATGAAGCTATGTATGACTGACACATAGCCTTAGCATTATCAGGATCCTCTCTAAATGTATTCACTATTCTGTCGATCATCATGTTGATTTCCTCCAAACAATTTTGCTGACTCTCACTTCTGGTGGTGAGCACATTGATATTAACAGTTTCACATCTATCTATGATACGATTGGCAAACTGATTAATGTCTTCTCTATCCACTGAAACCATATGTTAAATGTAATGGTAAAATTTATTGTTCTATGTACATGTAAATTAAACACTCACCGTCGCTCAACTGGTCAAGAAGTTTTGAATTTCTCACATTTTCCACGCTGCTGTAAACATTTTCAAGATCCTCGGCCATCTTCAAAGCCTCTTTTCGTATGTTTTCAATGAGCATTTCGGCGTGGTCCAACATTGTGGTCAGATACTGTTTGGATCTTTGGTGTCCGCCGTCGTCCATTGCGAATTCGGCAAACAATTAGGACGTATTATCGGGCAAAAATGTGAAACGATTTACTTTTCTAGAATTTTCTCGAAACTGATCGTTGGTCACAATATTACGAGCCACGTTGACAGGATTGGCAAAGACGAGACGATATGGAGCACCACCTACGTAACGACTTACAGCGCCTTTTGTTCTTCTTCGGTGTTATTGTTATGATAAAAATAAAAATCAAGACAGAATTGCGATTTGCGAACAATCATTGACAGATTAATAGTAGGTATATGATCAATTATGAACCGTCATTTGACTGTTGACATTATCACAGATTATATAAAATGATATAATAGTTTTATATAATCCGTGTCATTGCTCATTATGGAACCATAAAACAACAAAACGTACAAATAAGTGTACCTTCCGCCGAAATACGTTTAAAAAACGTTTAACTTGGTATCTCAAATTCTCAAACCGACGTGCCACTTCAGCAGTCGCAAGTCAACACATCTGCCAGTAATTGTTGTGGCCCGCTGCGACACTGACAGCCTACAACTGCCTAGGCCACAATTGCCTTTTATCAATGATGTTGTGGTAATTCTTATCAGTTATAGATAAGTAAATGAATTAAACATCTTTATTTTTCAGTATCAGGCACAGATATAGATAATTAGATAATATATTTATTATCTATATCTGTGGTATCAGGTAGATTGCTGATTGATAAGGATATCAATATCGATCATCACTCATCATGACATAATAGATCAGTTTTGTTTTTGTATAAGAACTTACAAGAAAATTATCCATTTTATACCCAACAATTATACTAAAAATTTTCAAAAATTGTCCTTAAACTTATGTAGAATATACGTTCGATAAACATAAGCAACCAATGGATATTAAAACGTTGAATAATCGTTCAAATAGTTATCTTTTGGCCCAATATCATAGTAATTACACCATAAATTAAACAATTCATCAACTAAACGTCTACCACATCCGTACACTATACGAGTGATTCGTGCGTCATGACAAACACATATTAATATATTTACATAGAAATGATCAAAATATTTAGACTCGTTCGAGTTATTTATAGACATTTTCAATTTGCAATTTTTTTTAGTTTTTTATTCTATAAATGTCAATAAAAATTTATTTGTTGGGTTTGTTTCCAACAGTTAATATGTATTCATTTATTCATAATGGTTATACTTGCTCCGGTGTCAACTAAAAAAATTAATTTGTCGTCATGACCATCTATTTTTCGATTTTATTTTATCTTTGATTGCTACTAACTCTGATGGTATCCTAGGGTTTTTTTTAATTTTGGGAACCAACCTAATTAATTGTTTAATTTGAAGTCTATCTGTTAATTACTAATTATTATTGCCCAAATTCTCCAAACGCCCAACCCAAGAACATATTTAGACCTCCAATGTTCATATCCATATCATAGACGTTAAGACTTTTAATGGGGTTGGAGAACCTGTACATATAGATAATTCAATGAGATATAATAAAATTGTTTAGAGTGTCTATGGTGGTTTAACAAACATGATCTTTGAAAAGAAGCTGCTTCTCAATTTTTTTTTTTTAATATTTAGGAGTGATTGGGTGGTTGCTTAATATATGAAAGTGAAAAACAATTTCTTAATAATAATAATTATAGTAGGCAAATAGAAATAGTAATGCTAATAGTACTTGTGTTTATTATACATTTTTGGTAGGAAGGTGGGTAGTGGATAAATTTCAGGTTACTTATGGGTTATTTTAGGTTCATTTTGCCACTGAGTGTCTATTTTCTCAGTAAGTTTTTTCACTTCCGTACTAGGTTATTCATTTGTACTTAATAATTTTGCCAAAGCATACCTCTCCACATTAGTATTTATCTAAGATAAAATATATTGTATTTGTATTATTATCTGAAATTCAAATTTTTTCATATCCTTCTTCTGGTTATCCCTAGTAGCAATATTCTTTAACTTTTAAAATATATATTTATAAGCTAAAATAAAATGTATTACTAATTATCATAGAGTATTGGGAAATACTAGGAAAGCCTTAAGAAAATGTAATTATAAATTATCAAAAATTCAATTATGGAAACAAGAAATCATTTTATTGTAGATAAAAACAAATCTAATTGTTTACGTTTAGAGTTTACGAGTTTTTTATGTTTTTTTAAATCACTAGAACCCATCCCTCTTGGTAATTCATCTTCGTCCAAAAGTATTTCCATCTCCTCAGCTGCTTTGTTGAACCAATTTGTGGATGCTGTTTCTTTCTTTGCCTTTTCTTCCAATGTAGTTACCTCCTGGGCAAGTTTTACACATATAAGGTATGTTTGCAACATCCGCAGTTGTACTTCTAACCTTGGCAATTCTTTTTCTCTTTTCATGGTCCTCAAAACGTTCAGGTATACATTTTTCTTATCAGGAGTGCAAATTAAAAGTGACAACCCAATGTTTGACGCTCGTGCTGTACGGCCACTACGATGGATGTAGATTTCAGCTGTTCTTGGGACGTCATAATGTATAACATGATTAACACCAACAATGTCAAGACCTCTTGAGGCTACATCAGTGGCAAGCAATAATCCATGGTCATTAGCTCGGAATTTGTCTAAATTTTTAAGCCTTTGTTTCTGAATCATATTTGAATGTATAGGTAATGGATTTAATTTGAGAATACTTAAGACACTAGCAAGTCTTTTCACACAACTTATACTATTACAAAACACTAAACTTCTACCAGGATTTCGTTTCAAAAAGTAGTACAAATATCCGTCTTTTTCCTTAACTGAGCAAAATATTTGCATTTCTTTCACTGTGCTAGTTACACAGTTTACAGTTGTCAGGTTTACAACATGTGGATTTTTCATACCGATTAACTGAATTAAACTTTTCAATTTATCTTCAGGTGTTAAATTTTTTTTAACTTTTTTTTTATTCTTAATGTTTATTCTGTATGGAGCTTTATGCACCATAGTAAGCGTTGCAGAAAACACAAAATTCTGTCGCTTATTATTTTTTTTTAAATTGATTTTCTCAAGCATAAGATGTAGTTCAGGAAAATGTGCTGTCTCCACCATACGATCTGCTTCATCAATTACAAAGTACTTGACTTTATTCAACTGCATTAAATGTGGCTCACTTCTCTGCACCATTTCCCAAAGACGTCCAGGAGTAGCTACAACAATTTCTGGACCTTTTTTTAAAATCCTTTCTTGTTTTTCGCTTGACAATCCACCTACAATAGCAGCGATACTAATATCTGTAAATTTTGCAACATCTTCAATGTGGTTTTTTACTTGCATGGCGAGCTCGCGGGTAGGTACGAGAATGACTGCCCATAATTTTTTATTTGTTCGCGGATAATTGTCTGGCGGCAAATTGACGACGGCCACACAACCTAGTCCATTTTCATCAAGTTCTTCTAAGACTTCTGGTTCACTGTCATTTTCTGAGTCTGAATCAGAGACTAACTCTGGGTCAGAATCTGAGTCATCTGATACTGATCCCTTAGATCTCCCATTGAGTATACCATTTAAAATGGGTATTGCAAATGCAAGTGTCTTACCACTTCCAGTTTCAGCAGCACCCAGTATGTCTCTATGATCGTTGATGGCTGGGGGAATCGATTCCGACTGAATCTTTGTAGGTTTGGTGAAGTTTTTCAACTTGAGAGCGTTTAATAATTCTGTCCGGATGTTCAGCGGCTCCCAATTGTCCATGGTTGTTGGACGAAAACCTAATAAAACAAATCAGAAATGACAATAACGTACTCTCCAGCAACAATATTAACAGTTTTTAGAATTCACTTACCAGTTAGTAGTTACCCCAATACTTCGTGTTTAAATATAAATACGATATTTGAAAATAATTATTTAAATTATAACTATTTGATATTTTGTATTTCGCATTTGATTATTTGACAAAATTGATAAATGATAGTAGTTATCTAAATTGTAAACACGTGCAGACGGGAATCTTATTTGAGGTTATGTGCAATTTGCGCTAATTTATAACAATTTAAAATCGTAATTCGTAGACTACTTACTAGTAGTTACTACTACGAGTTACAACATATCTCCTCTGTGCTAGAACCTAGAAAACTGTTCATTATTTCATCAAGTAAATCTTTTTGAATTGTTTCATCTAGGCCTTTACTCCTTTATACAATTTTCATATATATTGAGTGTTGAATCTTGAATAAATCAAACCAATCATTGAATAGCAAAACAATATCTGAAGCCTGTTTTAATACAGACATTTTTTTGTCAAATATTAATTATTATGTAAAATATAATTTAAAAATTATGAAATGTACCAAATAAATATTATTATGTTACTTAATTATACTATTATGAAATAAGTATTTACTTCCTTTCAGTTATATTTCTCTAATAACTTTTTTTCCCCACCATAGTCTATGGCTTTGGCAACTGCATATTATGAAAATAACTGTACCGCTAATTTTACATTCATACGATCTGTTCCTTGACACTTCAACTAACAGGACGTGTTTGTTTGTAAATTTATCAGTCAGTTTAAAAAATCTTGATCAGAATTTAAATTTAGCAACTCTTCAAAAACACTTCAATATATTTTCCATTGAAAAGTACTATAACAATGACAATAATTATTTACTTGATATTTAATAGAAATTAATTTTATATCTATCGTCTAAATGGTTTCTTGCTAATCTTAAATGATTTGTTATGTCTGCAAAAACATAGATGTTTTGGTTCTTTATTTTATGCTCGAAGTATATTATATCTATACACATAAATTTATGTTTAAAGCTTTCCATAATCCAATGTCACTAACCATTACAGGGACATTAAATTCAGCATTATACAATTGCTCAATAATCTGACATTACAAATCTCCTGTTATTGGGGTAACATAACCATACATAATCGGCTGTTTCCAATTAAATACTACCTAACCCCATATATTAATTAAGGAACTTAAATACGTATCTAGTCATAAATCATAATAATTTTGATGGCTTTTATATTTTGGTGATAAACCCCTTAAAGTAATCGCTTAAGAAATATCTTCTGGTTTTTGATAAACCTTTTTTTTGGATGAAGAATGGAAGCTGAATTTGAGTTTGTATAATGACTAATGAGTTGTAATAAAATATTACCAAAGCGACTTTCAAAATGAAGATCTTCCAAATTAATAAGATCTTGATAATATTTTACTTTGCCCATTTTCATTTTTTTTTTCCTTAAATTTTAAATTTTTTTTGTTATACTTGTAACATTCTTCTTTTAATCTTATCATTTTAAGAATATGTTTTTATAGTTTAAATTATGATTAAATATTAGCTATGGTTTACATTATAATTTATAATATTACTATTTACAGAGTAAAGAATACATTGATAATAAAAAAATTATTAAATTATTAAATAAATGATTAAAACACTACATATTAAGATATTATTTTTAATAATTTAAACATTACATACCAAAGTACCAACCAAACAAACATATAATAGAAAACATGTATTTTATTGTATTTTATCAATATTAATATTAAATAAATATGTTAAGCTAAATAGCATGCATGCATGTAACACATATTTTATTTTCATTACCTATATTAACAAATAAAAATATGCT